AGCCATGCTGCCTGTCTTGAATCACCTCCTTGTCCCCTGTGTGCGTATTCATTTCTTTATTTTCTTATCGTAGGTAGCTACTGAGTGTGCAGCAAATCAATGTTTTCAAAATAAATTGAAAAAATGGCTATTTTTTAACTGAGGCCATCACCTAGCTACAAGTTTCAGAACAAGTGTAATCTGCTTAGGAAGAATTCTTCAGTTATATTCTGTGGTATCTGCATTTTAATAGAAAACTTACAATGGGAGAACTCTGCTTTTAGCCTCTGTGGAACAATATAAATAAGACTGCAAGGGATTTTGCCTTACCAGGCAGTGCATTTTCATCATGGATTCTAAAGGGTGAAGGAGAGATGTGGATGTGTGCATGTGGGTTATAGAATTAATAACATGTCAGAATAGTCTGACTTATAATGACCAACACTTGTTTTAATTTACCTGTTGCTGAGATACATGGAAAGATAAAGAGATAGTCATCCCATACTGATTCAATGCACAGTTGTCAGGCACATGCATCCTGTTCTCAGAGAAATAAGAACATTTGAGCACAGCTAAAAAAAGCGTGGATATGAGATTTTTCAGTAGGCATTTCTTTTTATATGTCCAGGACAATTATTTGGTTGCAGCAAAGCAAACAATCAAGTCACACGCTGATCAGGCATTTTCTACTATTTGAAGACTTGAAATTCCAAGCCAGCTCACACTTCTCCTACTGCAACACTGTAGCTCAGTAAACACAGTATTGCTACTAACACCACAGGCTTTGTATTGAGTTTTCAAAGCCTCAGGACTAAGCCTTGTATGAGGTGCTTTTCACTTGCTCAGAGCTATTCTTTTATTGTTTAGCTCTTACAGCAATTTTTTGTAATGACAACATGATTATGTCTAATTTGTTATCTTATCAGTTTATCTTTGCATGGCAAAGACATAGTTTTTATATATACAGCAGTAACAATTAGTTATTCTGTGTAGAATGGAGGCCCCAAGGCTAGAAACAACTCACCAATGGTCAATTAAAGAAATGCAGATCTGGAACTGAGCAAAACGAGACTTAGAGGTAAGAAAGAGCATAAAGAACAAATATCTAACACATGCAGAATGCACCGTATCTATGAACTGAGATGTAATGTTAATTTGCAGGCCAGTGACAAATGAGCAAGCTGTAGTGTTAGCATACATACAGGAAGGACCCCTCACAGAGTGAAGAAGAAACATCACCATCATATTCCTCCTAATGAAGGGCTCATAATGGTGATTACTGACCGTATCCACACATGCACCAGACTGAAGCCATCAACCTTAGGACCCAGAAGGGCAGTGGAGGGGTGACCGTAACACCAGGAAAAGGGCTAGATACTAGGAAGGCTTTGTATAACAATTGTAACTGCATTATTTTTGAGACTTTTTCTGTGTAGTGGTATTAATTTCTTTATTTTCTTTTTTCTTCCTTTTTTTTCTGTAAAAATTTGATCTGGAGTAATGATGATTCTTTCATTAGACTGCTAAGATGTGAATTGTACTAATAATACATGCTTGGCTTTATGTATAAGGCGTGTTTCCTTTTTACACATAGTAAGATTTTAAATGTAACAAACATGGAAATGTAACAAAGAAAGCAAAACAGGAAATGAGGCATCTGTGAAGGAAATTAAAAGGATGAGAATGGGATAAAAAAGACAAGATAACAGTCACAAAAATTATGTTACCTCACAGCCAGCCACTGTCGATCCACCAAAAGATGAACTTTATCAATACGAATGTTGTTAGCATAGTGGAATCGTTTTGGCAAGTCAGGCGTCAGATAAGGTTTGAAGTGCTGAGGGGATCTTTTGCACTGTGCAGGAGGGAAGAGCCCAGTCATGAGTTTTGTTCAGTACCGAAAATAAAACCATCATTCAAAATTATTACAAACATCTTAGTGACAGGAATGTAAGCACAAAGCACATTATTCACAGATAGCTTCTCAGATAACCTGCTGATCTCATTTTTAGCCTGAGAAGCAATGGAAGGAAAAGCGGCTTTTTTTTGGAACTTTTTGAAAATATACTGCTATAATATATATAGCAAGTTCACAAATACTGTGGTAAAAGTACACCTAAGACTGAAAGACATTTAGTAGTAACGTTTAGTCTATATGTCCATACTAATGTCCCTGGCATCTAGTATGTAAGATTACACTCTACAAGACAAAGTTCCCTGGCAGTTTGTTTCTGCCATCTTCTATTACTTTACCATTCAATAAATAACAAAGAAAACTAAGTACACATAACATAGCACAGTCTAGGGTTTTAGTTGCAAGATTGGACATGTACTCTCATGCCATGTAAATGTCCAGTGCTCAGGTGTTAGCTAAAGGCCTTAGCTTTTACATCCACATTTAATGTGTTAATATAACTGTTGTCTTAGCAGGCATGCAGTGAACGAGTTTGGCATTGAGAGCCTAATGACAACCATATGACATCCTGCAAGGATTTAACTACATATGGCCATCAGGAGCCTTTCCAGCTGGCTGCAAGCATCATGGCAACGTTTCAGAAGTGTTGCTCCTGATCAGGAATCCAGCACTGGGACAACACAGAACATCTACAATGCTGAGGGAAGAGCTGCTAGGAAGCTGGGTAAGCCAGAGAAGTGGACCTGTTTTACCACACAGGCAGTACAAACTATAGCATGCTTGGAGTCTGATCTGACATCTTCACCTCTAAGTACTAGAATTGTATACTCTGCACAGAATGACATTAACATGTGAAATGAGAGTAAGTGTGCCTGAATAGTCATCAAAGAAGCATAGTGGAATCCAGGAACATGAAAAATAAGGATTCAGTGGGTTTGCTAGCCGAGGTGAGGAGGTCATTCTACAAAGGATAGTCTAATTAAAGGGAAAAATAAAGGAAATCAATATATAATGTAACTTTATGTCTATTCATTAGCAATTAATATACAGCACACAACTCCCTTCTCTGCACAAACCCCTCGTTCTAAGAACTTGAAAGGGACAAAATACACAAACTCTAACTATTTATGAATAGAAAAGGAAAGAGGAAGTGTCCTGATACCAGGCTATTCCTGTAAGGCAGAGATGTCATATCTCTGTAACTATTAGGAATTGCAGTTTCAACTGGGGTTGAGAACATGCAAATTGTGCTATTCTCCTCACACTAATGCTTTTTGATATGACATGCTCCACATCATACAATGTGGTAGGGGATGTCACACTTGAAAAAGCTCCTTCTGCTGTTCCCAACCATTGATATCCTACTCCCGCATCTGCTTTGGATGCTGGGGAATAAAGGACGTGTTCTTAGGTATTCAGAATCAAGAAAAAATTAAACAGGAACCTTCACTGCCCTTTGGACTTCAGTGGCAGGCAAAAGCTACATATAATATTGCACAACTAAGTTGTTCAAAAGTTACAGGAAAACCTCTAGTGGTGATTTATCAGAAATATACGCAGCTGAGACAGCCCAGAATTTTTCCAAGCTGAGAGCATTTATTCTAAAAGTGTCAGAACATCTGTCTACTGCTTGGACTAGGACTAGTCACAGAATAGAAAACAAACTGGCAATGAAGGAAAGAAGTTATGACAATACATAGAGAGCAAGCAGTTTAAATGTTTAACTCACTGTAAATTATAAATGCAAAGAAATAAAAAAAGACAACTTTCCTACAAGCATTTTAGTTTGTCCAACCACATTCATCCCACATGTATTAATGTCTATCTTGAACACTAACAAGAAAAAAAGGCAGCAAATTATCTATCTAAAAAAGTGTAAGGAAAAACATGCACTGTCACATCTTATCCCCTTTCAGTAAAAGAAATAGGCTCTGTCTTCCTTTGGTTTGCACTCTGTTCTGCACTCCTTTGCACCGTTCAGAGCTCAGCTGTCAGAGAGTGTATACACAAGGAGCAATGGTCTACATGGGAGACACAGACAAGCCTGGACCTGCCCTGAAGTGCTACATCCACACCGTATGGCTGAGACCCAAGCAGAACTATCAGTATGGGCCCCAGTGGTAGTGCAGCATACCTAAAAGCACTGCAAGTACTTAAGTGATACGTCATACAAGATCCTGAAAGAGCCATACTGCCTCATGCCAAAGGTCCATCTTGCCTAGTACTGTGTTTCTGATCAGATCTCCAGATTTCCAGAATCAGATACTTAGAGAAAGTGTGTGAGAACAAGTCAAGTATTGAATGAACCTTCTGTTTTGTACCTGCTCAGTTTCCTCTAGGCTTCAAGGATTCCTAAGTCAGAGGTTGCTTGTGGATCATGTTTAATAGCCCTTACAGGCCTGTCCTCCATTAATTTGTCTAAAATCCGCCCTTCCTATTTATATTTCCAGCCCCTACAACACCCTGTGGCAATGTGCTCTACAATGTCATTATCTGTTGTGTGGAAAAGTTGCTTTAACCTATGCTGGGTGCAGCACTTGTGGTCCAGAGCTAACAGATGCCTATTATCTAAACCATCTCTGTGTTGTATTCTGTTCTATAATGAAGATATACCCTACTTTCTCTCTGAAGTCAGCCATTTCTTTTCTTTCAAAGTGAAGTACAGAAGACTCTTTTGCTCTAACAGAGGTCCCCCATGGCAAACCTTTGTGCACCGTCTTTGAACAACTTCCAGAACTGCCTCCTATGGTATACTGGAGTCAGTACACTATTTAAACTGGCACTGTAGTCTCAGTTTTTCACAAACTGTGTTTTTTGATCAGATTCCTATTAAGAGGAACTCTGAGGAAAAATTATGAAAATATTTACTCACTGTGAGGTTTTTAACAATTCCTTCCGAGTCAACTGTTAAAAAGAAAAAATGAATTAACATACATCACAATAGCTGAAGGTCCGAAGCCTCATGAGAAAAATTTCAACATGCTTTTTGTCTATAAAATTGAATTTCTTTATCAGTCTGTGAAGATTATGGTAACCATAACCTTCCAGAGGTAGGAATGTTATGTTTCCAAGGGTAACTGACTGTAAGTGTGGTAGCCTGTGGAAGTACCTAGCCCTTTGGGTACATCAAGACAGACTATAGAAAACTGCCATGGTGATAACTGCCTACACCTAAAATTGACACATCATCAGAACCAAATTTTCTTCTCCCACCTAACCTCTGTTTGAAGTATAACCTTTTTTACATTGAACTGGAACTGGAGGACTTGTCTTGCATTCCACTTCCAGCAGCAGTCACAGAGAAAAATCCAGTCTGTCTTAGTACTTTCACCTTCCATATTTTCAAAGAGTGACTTTAACCTTTTGACATTGGCTTTCTAATAAACAAATCTGAGCACTTTACAGAAAGAAAATTCCTTCAGAAAAAGTAAGACCATTAGAGGAAATGAGTCAACAATTACATTGAGATTAAGACACATACAAAACATCATTATTCTCTCCTCTGCTTATTAATCTGCTCCTGTCTGACTTAGACTGTCTTCTGCTTAAACCAAGGAAAGTCTGCTTTATGTTGTATAAATATTGTGCCGACAAATATAAATACAATTAGAAAAGATAAATAAAAAGTACTGGGATCCCAGCTCTTATTTGAGATCTGCAAGAATTATGCCCTTTAGAATACTTTATGAATTCTATAAACTCACTAAATAGACTAATTCCATGGTTTTACCTTTCTCTGCCCTTTTCCCTGACACAAAAAGTTTTGGGAAGGTATTTTTTTCGGTCTGGTAGCACGGTATCTATTCCGAGCCAGAGTCAACTCACATGGTTTCAATTTTGTGTTCTTTTGTGATACTAGCTGAAGGGCTCAACCAAGGCTTAGATCCTACTGTGCTAAGATTCAGATTCCGTAACTTTGTACACACAGTTAGAAATAGTAACTGCTTCAGAAAGACTGACTCTGCCAATGTTGCACAAGAAATCTGTGAAGAGCAATGCACTTACAAAAGACCTGAAGTTCCAGTTCAAAACAATAAAACTATCTTTACTTCATCTTTCCACATGCCAAGAAAATGCACATCAGAGTCTGCAATAAGCTTTTCTAACCTTCAATTTCATCTAAAGAGGTCGTTCTTGCAAAATGAAAAAGAACAACTTCCATGGATGTTTAAGCCAGGTTAAGTGAAACAGAAAGCTGTTCACTCTGCCAATTACTACTGATTATCCATTTTCCCTATTTATTTATTTATTTCCTGTTGTATTGATTGTGCAATCCCAGGATTGGTCCACACTTACAGGTAAAATAGTCCTTTGGAACGTTACTTGCTCGAATGCGAGCTGCAGGCCCAGCGTATATGTAGAAATCAATCTCTTTGAAGTAATTAGTCATATATTCTAACTGTTTGCAGTAGGTCATCTCCATCCCTAAAGGACAATATAGAAACAGTTATTTTTTATATACAATATATGGCAAGGAAGATAAAGTGAATTACAAAATAGATTAAAACTAGTAAGCACACATATTACACAGAGGAAGAAAACAATGACTCAGTAAAATTTAGATTGCGAAAAGAACTATATACATTACCATGATCAGCTAAAACAATGAGGTTTACACATTTGTGCAGATTTCTTTGTTTAAGTCCATCCATTAGCATCCCCAGTGCTTGATCTGCTAGCTGTAAGGCTTTGATTACCTGTGAGATAAACCAGCTTCATTAGAATTTTTCTTTCTGATTTCAGGTTCTCACTTAAATGTAAGCATCAAAGTCTGAAAAAAGTGAGCTTTTCTGTCAGTTTTCAGGTTCTTAATATTGCTGCTTCTTCTCTTTTTCCATCACCAGTAGACTATCGATGTGCAGAATTCCACTACTCTACCACAGAATATGTGACTTAAAAAAAGACTCACAATTCTTTTTTTTCTATTGCCTTAGAAAAATTGAGCTTTAAAATATGTTTATTGAAAGAAAAAAATTAGCACATTCAGATCAGATTTGTTCCTCACTCCCAAATTTATACAAAATATCAGATTTATAACATTAAATACAATTTTTGTTGTAGTTGAACATGTCATTGTATTAACACTAAGCAGCGTTTCAAAAATATTTACACACACACGTATTATTTATAAGACCAGCGTAGCATCCAAGAAGGCATGGTGCCCTTCTCTCATATATACAGTCCCTTTAAACGTCCTACAGAAAACCACTGACCACCACTGAAGTAATATGGGAGAAATCCAGCACAACCCACCCTGCAGCCATTCACAGAGGATGGCTCTTCCCTAGTTGGTGCATCTGACTTACAGTCTTCCTGTAAGTCCTACAGTAAGGACGATACCTGACTGAGTCTGAGGACTCCACGTCTGAGCACTTGCATCCTTCTTGTTCCCCTAACTCTGCTGCACTCTCTTGAATGTCTTGCATGCATGGACAACGTACACATATAAAACTACACATACAGTAATGAGTTTTAAGCCCTTTATGTACAAAGAGAAACGGAGTTCCCTTTCCAATTAGGGAGCCTAAAACCATCCTACAAAGATCAGTTTTTCTGTCCCTGTCCACTACAACAAGGCCTTTTGCTGAAGATCATTTTCAAATATATCAAACAAGACCATTCCAGGAAGGAGCTAATATGGTAAGTCCTAAACTCCTTAAAGAATGAACTTTTTGCCTGCATGCAAGTAAAAATATAATATTTTGGGGTTACAAATTAACAAACATTGAAGTGTTAGGAATAAATAAAAGACGGTTCTGAGGATTTGCCAGGCCACATGCTTCCAAATATCACTTGGCAATAAAATTAAAGTTCAGTCTAAATACAACCATTAATTTTATTTCTAATAGTATGATCTGAAATTATTTTCTGCCAGTCTGTTTGGTTTACAGCTCTTTTGATTCACACACAGTGCTGGAATTATAACAAGTGGCTCAACCACAATCAAGAGTTCTTAAGAGAAACTCATAAAACAGTCACAGTAATTTTTGATCTACTATCCTTTCCAAGTTTATAAGTTGGTTAAGTTCATAGTACAGCACCATTTTCAGTGTGATTTAATCTAAGAAAAACACAAAATCTACTTACACCACCACTAACTGGTCCAAATGAATGTCCAGAAGAATCTGGTTCTTCAATATATAAAGTGTAGAAATCAGGCCTCGAGTTAGAAATAAATAAGGATGGAATATTATGAGAATTTGGAGACAGCATTTCAAAAGAACACTTTCATTTAAAAAAAATTAAATTAAACTTAAAAGGGAATTGTAAATAACTTCTTTAAATCTTAATAAAAGTCCATACAGCAAATATAATCATTCAACTTCCTCTGAGTTTTGTAATTAATCAACATGGACTATTTGAAGTTGTAATTTCAGAAACAGTATCCGGTGTCTTTAACTGGTATCCAGAAATCACTCTGAAAAACTTCAAGATCTCAGACAGCAGAGCAAGCTGTTCCTTTTTGAGATGTAAGTGGAACTACCACCTAAAGGATCTCTTCCTGATTAAGCAGTTAGGCTTTAGAGAGCATCTCCTAACTGCAAATATGTTAGGAATTTGTTAACGAATTATCATATAAAAGATTTCACTTGTTTTCATGTCACAAAGTTGAGCACCACAACCAGTACTGACATCCACTTTTAATCCTGAATTACTGCCTGCAATTACTTTCAGATATTTTACCTTTCTTGTGCAATATAAAATCTTTTACCCATACACTTAGACTAGAAACTGAATGTTCCATGTTTCCTCTAGGCCATGCACCAAGAAAAAAGACACAACAATAAAAGCAAACTTATACAGCAGTACATCCCATTCAGATACATGTGCACATTTTCATCTTTCGTATTTATAATCTTATCCTGAAAATGATTAGCTATACTTATAGAACAGCCTTATGTTCAGCAAATTATCATTTGAGATGGTGAGGAAGATTCCATGTTTCACAAACACCAATAGAAATTTCAAAAAATTAAAACCTTCTAAGCTGTAGTTTCACAAACCAGCTAGATATTACTAAGTGTTACCTCTCAGATTTGGTATAATCAAGCCATTTCAATATTCCTGAAATTCTCTGTTCATATGTAACCGAACTGAAAAAAAAAGAAAAAGATATGATGTTAACAGGGCTTTTCTGATAAGACCTTCTAATTCCAAGATACAGAGAAAGTGTCCCACCTCTGGTCGCATAATAAAGTCACAGATTTGGATTTCAAGAATGATGCATCTTAACAAGGTACCAGCAATCAGTTTTATTATTCTCATTTTTGATTGAATGTAACTCACTTTTAATGGTAAATTAGACAGATCCTGATTTTGCAAACACAAACATGTGATGTTGATGTGAGTACTTATACACTTATAATTAAATACATGCAAAAAAGATATTTCAAGTTCAGGACATAAACCTGAAATACAAGTCAGAATAATTTTTATTCTTCCCAGCATCTATAAACCTTGGACTTTCATATTTTAAAAGCAAGTAATGTCACCAGCAAAATCTTTGTGAGGTCATGCTTTGTTTCCTATGAAGGAATTCAGCCATTAATAGCTTTGCTTCCCCCCAAAGTTATGCACAAGCTTTATGACAGTTACCTACAGTACTCGGGTGTTTTCTGAGTACCAATCCTACACATCACTGTAAAACCTTTGTTATCTATACAGACTTACGATTATATACTTGCTTTAGATTATCTTTTTAAATGTGAAGAATCATGGGAGATTTACTGAAATCATCATGAAAATTTAAAAATAATTTACTAATATCAATACCTTCCATAAGAAAAAAATACTATGAAGGTAATTGCTATATTTTCACATGCATAACCTGTGAATTAACTAGACAAAACATACAAAACTATGATTCAGCAGCAGTGTGCACATTATCACACACACAAGCAAGACCAGAGGGAATTATCTAGAGCCCATCTTCCTTCAGTAGCTTCCCTAACCAGCATCCTCTCTTCAATTAGTTTCTGCCTTCTGTAGCCTCATATCATGGAGTCCAAGTTTGTGTTCATTATCTTAGGGTATAGGTTATCTGAAAGCTTATTCTCAAGTACAAGTATTTTTAAAGGGCTATATAGTATGTGTAGATATTATGTGTGGAAATATGGTAATGTTTGGTATAGCTTAGCAGTGGCTACTAATCAGTTATATCTCCTAGTGGGAGATCAGTGGTTTGCAGTTGGCTGAAACTTTCAAATCTGTCTAGGAGAGCAGAATGTACAGTACCCTTTGACTTTCTCATTGTGAATCCCCTAAATGGTTTTGAAAATTTCAACTATTACTGGCAATTCCATGGCAAAACCAGGACAATGTGACATGGCACTCTCAGACTGTTGTTTAAAAACCTTGTACTTTAAAAATCTTATATTTCATTTCCTTCAACTGTCATATGGCAACTTGGATTTTTGGAGTAATTTACAGGAATTTACTACAAGCCCTATAAAAACTTACCTGTTGAATACATTGTACAAGGTGGGGTATGTTCCATTAATCGGAACATCAGAGCCTGGCCAAAAGTAGGTGCCTGCTTTCAAATTTTGGTACATTGCTGTCAGCCAGACCTATGGGTAAAGATACAAACAAATGATTTTATGGCATTTACACCACTGGAGGACTTCAGATCACCAAAGTAAAAATTGGATCAGAAATATGGGCTGCAAGATGCATTTCTCTTTCTTCTTTCATACATCACACTGTTGTCTAATGACCATATCTGATTTGAAGGTTGTTTTATACATACACATTCTGAAGAAAAATTAGTAGCATGGAAGCCAGGATGTTGCCATTTCTTGAGTATTCGCAGCACAGAAAAAAATCATATCGGTATTTCCATAATTGACCACAGGCAGCGATCTTTTTTCCTGTGGCAAATGCCAGTGGAATGGATCATGAAGATGGAAGAATGGCTCAAAGCTCTGTCAGGGATGTTCAGACTTGACATTAGGAAACATTTCTTTACCGAGAGGGTGGTCAAACAGTGGAACAGAGAGGTGGTTGATGCCCCAAGCCTGTCAGTGTTTAAGAGGCATTTGGACAATGCCCTTAATAATATGCTTTAACTTTTGGTCAGCCCTGAATTGGTCAGGCAGTTGGACTAGATGATTGTTGCAGGTCCCTTCCAACTGAAATATTCTAGTCTAGTCTAGTCTAAGATATGGATTCTAGTTATATGACTTTATTATAAGAGGGCATATTTCTATTCATCTTAAATACTGCACCTGTGGTTCTGTTACAAACCTGACGGAATCCTTCATGAAACAATAGCACCAAAACCTGGGCACTTGAATATACTATAAACACGGCTACACAGACATATATACACACACACACGTAAAAAAATATATAAATGTATATTAAGTAGATATACTATATACTACATGTGTATTTTTTATATTTCTGTACTGTTATTACAGCTTGATATTTCTAGTAAATGAATAATATCAATCATAACCATAGGTACAATCAGGGTGGGGTTTTTTTATGAAATGTGCCATACAAGTGTTCATTTTGCTAGAAATTAAGCTCTTTGCTATTCCCTTCCTTGCTTTTATATGCCTGGACTTTTTAAGTGTATTTGTAAATGGATATAATTTGGAAGTAGATTTTCAGATTTCATTTTGTAGCTAGTTGTCAAAAGACAAGCAAAAAAATACCCCACAATAAAACCATATCAAAAATTTACTGTGGCTTCCTGTGGCAAGAGATCCATTCCAATATTTAAGTCTTTTTCACTAACTGCCACATTAAGTGAAATTTCTAAGTCTCAGAATTAACATTTTAAGAGTTCTTTTACTTTCATAAAAAGCAAACTGTTTTGTAGGCAGCCTATAATATGACAAAGCCTACAGGACATTTAGCACATACTGCAAATATATCACACAGCTTTGCATTTTATTCTCTTTTTGTTTTGTTTCATGATATGGCACATGAGCCACCCTAGACATAAAGGAATACCATGATGAGAAATAAACCTACTGGCTGCCCCTTCCACCATGAAGGTTTGAATTTTTCCGTCCCCGAAAGTGAGAAATTCTTGTTCAAGTTTACATCATACATGCTGTTATCAATAATACCATGAGATTCTGGATACAATCCCTGCAAAACGAAAATAAACAAAAAAAACCTGCTGAATCTTGAAATCAAATGGAGCCTAAACTATGTTGTAATGCACACTCTTGCAGTTCCCTTGAGTTTCCCTATTTTCTCCCCAGCCCAATTAAAACCTGACGTGCTATAGATTAAGCACCATATATGTCATGTGGCTGTATATCAGCTGCCCAACCCATCCTAACACACACTCTCATCAAATGGCTGTGTCCTCACCCATACTCGCCCGTGTCCAATTAGACTGCCAAAGATCAGGAATAACCGGTTCACAGGCCAGAATCAGATAGCATACATATATAGCCACATAGATCATGCCTGCATGCACTATCTCAGCATCTCTCTCTCTTCCTTACTCTTATAGCTTGAGTTCCCATGTCCCACAAAAAGACTGGTGCCACAAAATCCTTTCTATGTCGTCCAGATAATGAAAAGGAAAAATAGCAAATTCTCACTTACTGTGACAATAGTATAGTGGTTTGGAAAGGTTTTTGTGGGGTAAACAGCTCTCATGTATTTTGAATGTGTGCCACATGTTTCTGCAACAGATCATGGAATTAATATAAATTTGCTTATAGTTCTTTTTAAATTGAAAACTAACAGTCTTAAAAGCAAACAAAAAAAATCACCACAGTCGGTTGCTGTGGCATAAGAGGGGAAATGTGACTCCAAATGAAGACGCATACATTCTGCTGTTTCCTTGTGAGCTAGGCCTACTGTCTCATTGCAATCAATGGATCCTGGACACTCAATTCAGTTGCCTAAAGCCTAGATGCCTAGGGCCATTTGAGACATCTTTAATGATCCTGCCTAGCCTTCAGATGCTGCTCCTACATCCTGTCTGCCAACTCAAATGAGTGTCTCAGATACTTCTGAGACTCAAAATGGCACTAGACATACATGTTTACGCAATGAAACTGAAGCCTCAGGTCAGCCCAGGGAAGATATTCTGCAGAGCTGTCTGGTGACCAGGTGCATGGGAAGGACTCAGTTGCTTAAGCACTGGAGTCCGGTGCCGTTTGAGATACCCTCAGATATCCAAGACATCTGCATGAAAGTTGGCCGTTTTGATGCAAGATCACCGAGAGACCTGTGTCCTCCTGACAGAGATGCTGAAGGCCACCTAGGATATGCCACAGCCCTCAAGTATACTAGAAACATAGGTTAAAGCAACAATTTGTCCTGTGGCACCCTCTGTCTGTCGGTTGAGCTGACTTGCTCTTGCACTGTGCTGTACAGACTGTACTAACCATAAATACACTGACTACAATGAGCATGTAGAAATCTCACATGCAGGCACCTCCAAGAACATATCTAAATGTAGGTGTCCTGCTCTGGACTGAATCCCACCCCAGGTGTCCTACCTTATCTCCAAACATTGCATCACTTTTCAGCAATCTAAGGCACTTACCACGCCTGAATATCTGTAATATCTAAATCCACTGTGGTATCCAACTTATTTACATACAAAACAAAGGTGTGAAGACTGGAAGATGCCTTAATGCCATTTTTTAATCTAACTCACATGGAGAAACAGTTCTGTATTAAGCTGTAGTCAGATGATTATTTGATTCACACTCAAACACACATTATTCTTTGATATACAGCATTTCAGTCAAAGAATAGAAATTGATTTTAACTAAACAACCTCAACTAAACAATGAAAGCCTGAAATTATTCTACAAAACTCTTCCGGTGCGGTACAGAAAAGAAGGCTTAAAGAGTGTCTAAAGAAGGGTTGAATAATTGTCAAATCCATGAGAAACTCCGCATAATTCTTTATGGATTTCTCTTGAACAGTAAAGGAACTACATTCATAGTGTACATATTCTATAACTAGCTTGGTTAGTTCTACTGAAAATCCTAGGTTAATAGAGTTAATAGAGAGGAAATATTTTATGCTACAAATCAGTGTTACGCTTTTTCTTGTGCAAAGAAAGGAATTTCCCTTTTCTTTCCACTGTAGATTTCTGAGAAGTACAAGCATGAATGTGTATAAGCAATTGCTTGTACAATGTAGTCTTGGCAAAGACCACAAATATGAGTAATGCTGAATTAGATCTGTTCTTGTTTGAAAGAATTTCTTGGAAACATACACATAGCATGGTTTTCGTGCCTTTTGTCAATTTGGCATTTCCTTTTCACCTGTTTCAAAAGACTGGAACTGAACACTGACTTCTGCATGCATGATTTCTTTACTAATTCAAGTTCCTTTCAATGTCAGAATGACATCAAAGAATAAAATATTTGCACAAGAAATCAGATTTGCACACTGCTTCAAGTTCAGGCTTCTGGATACCCTCATTATCCACAAATAAGATTGTTAACTACTCAGTAAAATGTAGTACTTTGTAACATCCATGTGAAGTTTTCAAACGAGCACAACAGAAACAGAATATGATATATTCAGAACAGAAACGAACACTGTCGATTTAGATTATTACTCCTGAGAAGAAATGAGTATGCAGACATTTTGTCCAGGTACAAAGTATCTTGAAAGCTGAGCTCTAAAATATTCAGGAAATTTTAATGAAGTGTGCACTAATGGATCTCACTTTTTAGAGCCCTTTACAGCACAAGCTTCTGCACAAGATCTTCAACTTACTCTTTCTCCCAATATTCAGAAATACTGGGAAACAGTTACTTGAACCTTACTGCAGTCATATCAATATATTAAATTATACCAATATGTAAATTACATTGCATTTAAGTCTAATATAGTAATATTCACTGATGTACTTTTAAATATGCAGCTTCTCTTTAATAACTTAAAATATCTGACTTGAAAAAGTGCATCTTTAAGGAAAATTTCCCAATAACCCAATGCATTTTCTCTTTGTATTATACTTCAATGATGATCTCCTTATCAGCTAGAATTTTTCAATGGAGTACAGAGAATGCAGGAAATCCTTCTCTGGAACTTTTTTTCAGTCTTAAACTATTTATTTAATAAAAAGCTGCTGATCAGTATTAGAGGCCTTGTTAAAAACAGTCATGTTTGCTGTGCACTTAAATACAAGAATTAATGCAAAACATATAATAATGAAAATATACAACTGATGAGGGAGACCTGATTTGTGATTTTCTTATTGCTGAGCAACACATATGCATGAGAGCAGCAAAAGGGATTGGACGTTGCATGTAGTCTTTTAAAGAAAATAGCCAAAGCACTCTTGGTAACTTACTGAGTTTTTCAATATTTGGCAGCAAAGAACTCCAAGTTTGCAAGTATTCTGCTCTAAACCCATCCATTGAAAAAAGGATAAGTGGTGGCAGATCAAACCTACAAGAAAACATGAGTTTGTAATCTTAAAGGAGTTTGGAGAGTTGGTGACTTGTTAAGATCTTTAACAACAATATAAATTCTACTTTTAATAGCAGGATCCAGAATTTCCATGTACTTCCCAGAATTAATATCGCAGTGTGAGTTAAGCAAATAATAGGTCAATTTTGAGAGCAAATACACAATCCTCCTGAAAAAAAACACTGGAGGAATAAAACACAAGCTATTCAGTATATAGAGAACCTAGGAAAAGAAAATGTGTTTTGTTAATCCTTTAATTACAAATATTTAATTACAAATACAAATAAATACAAGTGCTGCAGACTTGCATCCAAATACAAGCCCAGAGTATAGAACAGCCAAAGTACCTCTGTACATAGTAATGGGTTGAATTCTGTCTCTTGTCTCTTAATGCACCTTAAAAAATCTTTCAGGGCAGCTCCACAAGGACTGTAAAAGTACAGTAATCACGCAGCAAGCAGTTAGGGTCAATTGGCTTCAGTGCTGGGAAATGTAATTTCTGTGCAATGCCAGCTTTGTGCAGCCCCTTACCTTACCACATTTCCTTTGTGAAGACATCACTAAGCAGTCCATGTTCTTTGTGGATTATATCTTTCAAGTTTCCCAGCTCTCATGGAGCTGGAGAACACTTTTTTGCCTCAAGGCCCCTGACAAACTGAACTTAAAGCTACGAAAGGAACGTAGCATCTGCTAATGTAGTTAGGGTAAGACTTTATGTAAAGAAACAAGGATAAAAGCCTCAGATCTAGTTCATACAGTAGGTATGATAAAATAGGTACAAATTGCAGCTGATCTCTAGAACAGTGTTCAAAGTCTTGTTATAAAAATTCTAACTAGAAGGTGCTAGCTGTGAAAATAAACTTCAAAGTTATTAAACATGCTTTCTCTTAAACAACCTAAAAGGACTCCTAAACAAAGATGCATTAGCAATTATAAAGTGCTGGTGCTACAGCACCTTTTTTCATAACACCAAGTGACAAAATCAGTAGGATCAAGTCATCTAGTTCTGCAAATTCAGTCTTTTTGTTAACCATCATTATATATTCTACAGTCTCCTTAGAAACATATAAAGAAACATAAAAATTGTAAATATACAATTAAATTAAAAATGTAGTTTGAAGCAGGATTCACTACACATAGTATCTAAAAAAACCCCAACCATTTGTAATTTATAGGAATGGTTCACCACATAAGCCTGGAAACTATTGGGGGAGAAAATGATTGATAAAATGCAGTTACTGATAACTGACTCCAAACTATTTTTTGGAGTAATACTTAGAGTGATAACTATTAAAATAAGGTTATACATTCACATCAGGCAGTAATCACTATCCCAGTTTGGTTTTCATTCGCAGTGGTCTTTCCAAAATACAGAAGTACACTACCAGTTTGTATAAAACAGCTTCCTGATTTGAATTTGAAATTAAATGGAGCTTTATATAGCAATGCTCTTTACAGCACTTAAAGAAGCCCTTCTCCACTAGTTTCCAAGCTTTAGCCTATGAAACTGTGTTAAATCAGCAAGTTATTTGTTAACCTAAAAAGTATATTTTTATATCTATGTTGGGAGGTGCATGCAGGAATCCATGAAGAGGCCACAATACTAACAGTATTATTGTTACAATTAAACTAAATTGGCAATAAAACAGATAGAATAATGGATAACATCACAAATACCATAACTGAACTAGAAAATAATTCGTTTTTCTTTGAGAACAACTTTTTAAACTGTGTTTCTGCGTAGCATCTACCTATGATTTTGCAATACCGCACAAATAGCAAAATATCTACAGGTGGACATCAGAATTACCATGTTCCAGCATTTGTAGATGTACAGCTACTTTCATAGCTTCCTTTTTAACACACCTTTCTTCCCGCAGATTATTCAAGTAAAAAAAATCCTGTTACTTAGATAAAGAATTGCAATCACAGATTCTAACAATTATTACAGTTTGCATAAGGTGATTTATCCGAATTATCACATATACAATACGGTAACATAAAATGGACTATGAACAATTTGTGGTATATGAACCTTGAGATAACTAACAATTTTTCCAGGTCTTTGCAATCTGGATTTGAACTCCTGTACTCTGCTCTAAACTCTAAATGATAATTGAACGTGCAACAAAATGACAAAGGTTTTAGAAAGAAAAAACGTTGCTAGCCACAAACTGCTTCTATAAGAATATTCCTCAGGGCAGGAACCTTATTCTCAGTAAATATGAAAACCTCATGAAGACTTGCTTCAGGCCACTGAAGTATTTCTGACCATCACAATGATTTTATTTGCTAAGAAGACAAAATTATTTTATCCTACCCAGCTGGACACTGCGGAGTTTCAAGTGATACACATGGTTCCTCCACCCAAGGTATTTCACCTAAAAGGACAAAAGAACATATTGAGTCAGCATTAAAAAACCACCAAACAAAAAAGAAGTTTCCCAGTTGATCTTTTAATGCTCTTCCTGGTACTTTTTCTGCTTCAATACAGAATTATAGAAATGTAGGGCTAAAGTTACCTTTAGAAAACATTTAGTGCAACCTACTAGGCCCTCAAACTCTGAAAGGGCTAATGCTTACAGTTGTAAGTTGAAAACAAAACACATAATACTACACAGACAAGCAAACAAACAAAATGGAGAAGAAATCACTATGAAAGCTTAGCCTAAGTTTTATATGGTTTTAAATGGAAAACGTTTAAACTGTATCATGTCCACACTGGATTACTGCCTTCTTTTTTTGCAGAAACCACTTACACATTTAGAGATGATTGCCAGGGCTCCCTTTAGCCTTTTCTTATTTTTTTCTGTAAAGAGCCCAAATTCCTTCAATCTTTCCATATTGACTATGGCTTCCAAATTTCAAGTAATTATTTCTGTTCTCCTTTGAATACTCTCCACATGCTTCACAGCTATACTCATTTATTACAATGTTTGCCCATCTCTTTGGAAGAAATAAGGAGGTCAATAAATGAAGAAAGAAGGAAAACATCCAAGAAAGGAAAAAATATAAAGAAAAGAGAAGAAGCAGTGGCTGTTGAAGTTCTTGGCTCACCACAGAAATATTCTCTTCCAGTAAGCAGCCAAAGGCAGGGGTGTACAGTGACCTTAACTAGGTCAGCTCAATCAATTTAGCAGCTAGTCAAATTCCGGACTGCTTTTAGCTTTAATTTGCATTTAGGTGACAAATATATTTTGCAGGAGCTGCCTTAAATCTCTGCCAGCTCACAATATAAAGGAATTCTGATAAGAGATACCATGTTTTATGTCACCAGTATACTCCTCAGGTATCATTCCTGTAATCCGATTTTACCAGTGCTATTCTTCATGTGTTTAGCCGGAGTCTGTATGAAACAATCAGCCATGAACAAAAATATTGAGAAATAAGTAAAACATAAGAAACCCAACCTGAAAATTAATTTCTAATAAAAAAGATGGGAAATTTTAAATTAGGGATGATTACTGGATTGGATTGCATGAAGTTTGAAGCAGGAGCCATGTCTCCATCTATTTTTGAAAAAAAAAAAGAAAAGAAACAACCTAAAAAATCCACATTGGGTATACCGCTGCAATATTCAAAACATTCTGTCTTTCTTATGAATGACACACATTCACACTGTTCTCCAGAAACCGTCTTTTTCCCAGTCAAAAACACAAAAAGCTTCACCTCAAAACATCTTTATTTTCCAAAATGTCACTGTAAGACACTAATCTTGAGAAACAAATGCATCTACCTTTATATCTGCCATGTTTGCCCATCTATTTATTTCACAGGACAATTTATATATAAATCTTTTTGACTTTTGATTTACCTTTGCAAACGCTGTTGTAGTTTACACAGCAGTCTTTTTTCTGCAAGCAGTCATCAGAACAAGAACAGTAACTTCCAGGTATCCGTGTCTCACCACAACGGAAATTAGTGCACCTCCAAGATCGGGCTGAAAATTGGAAGAAAAACATTATGATTTGGTTCACAGAACCTTATATAAACTCCTTTGTGTGGAAATCCCCCAAATGGGTAAAGGGAAAAAAAAAAAAGAGTTTTTGTTAAACTATAATTTACATGTCCTGCTTGAGTGGCTTTAGAAGTTGTATCCAAAAGAAAAACTCAAGATTTCGTTTAACACATAAAGCCTATTTCTGTGGCCATTGAATGGTAACACAGTCATAGAATAATTTATTTTACAAAGGTGTCCCCAAAGCCACCTTGTTCAATGCCTTCCACCCTTCCAGGAAGATTTTAAAAAAAAAAAAAAAATTAAACCCATATTTCTCCTAGAGAAGAGAAAGAGAAGGAAACCAATCTTTTTCCTCCTTTTGTATGTGATTCCCAGCAGACAGCAAAAAAAGAGATGTAAGGGCTGAAGCGGGCAGAAAAAGCCATAAGGATGAGGAAACATCCGAGCGGCTGCTGGGAGAGCAGAGAGAATAACTGGAGAGGAGCCTGGCCTCGATGCAGAGCCAGGCCGGTCCCCTGGAAGGCGAGTGCACTCCTCCGACCCAGGCCCCCACCCAGCGCTGCGTGAGGCTAAGAGTGCACCTGGCCGGGAAACACACGTTCATTTTCGAAAGCGCAAGAGAAGCTGGCATCGTTTCAGGTCCCGGCCCAAAGATAGCCTACGATTTCTGCTCACACTCGTCCACAGCTTTATCTGGGCCAGGAAAAATGCACTGCAAATGCCTTGGTTATCCACGGGGGACAAAAATACAGGGATCTGACGCGAGAAAGACACAGGAAGATTTTGTGTCCTGCCCGGTCACCAAGTTACAGCCCTCTAGCCACCTGAGTGCAGCAGCAACTCGACGCTGTCCTTCCCTCCCTGAGGGAATGTGGCACAACTTCCGTATATCTGCATAAATATGAGATTTTATCCTTTTCCTATTACTATCACGTGAAAAAACAAACCCAAAATAACATGGAAACCAGTGAGCACTGCCTGTAAGGCAACATACTTGGCTCCACGCAGGCGTCCTCGTAGTCCCAGCAGCAGTCCCGACGCTCCTTGCAGCCGCTGTCGCACCGGCAGCCAGGCACCTCTTTGCCGTGCGGCTCATTGCACTTGTGTCTGCAGCTGACTGTAAGGAGAAGGCAGCGAGTCTGAATGCTCAGGTAACCCTGTCCCAGACAGCTCAGTTAAATGGATCACGGACACAGGCTGCAGGCAGAGATATGCTGAATAATTTCCCAAATCCGCTTCCCAAGTCATTTTCCAATGCGGTCACTAGCACAAGGGTAAGCAACGAAAGCTGTAGGAAGTCCTCCGGATGTTGAAGGTCCTGGTGGCTGTTTGGGCCGTGCTTGCCCAGAGCCTGTGGCAGGGCTGTTTCCGCAGCAGGTCTCCCCAGGACTGGTGGCACAGGAGGCAATGCCCCGGTGTTCCACCCTCCCAGCACGAGGAGGGGGAAACTGGCGTCTCCCCTGCTCATTTCTTGATCCAGGATGCAAGAGAAAGAGCAACTCCCACTTTGGACGTTCCCTTATGTACCTGCCAGGGAGCTACGTGGGACGGGGCCCCCCTCAGGGCCGGGCACTCAGAGCCATGGGGGCTCCCCGGAGGTGGCTGGGCAGGGCCTGGCAGCCAGGGCCCATCCCATCACCCCAGTCAGGAGCAGGGCAGCCGGGGGGGGCACCAGGGCAGCCCCACCTGAGGCATTGGGCACCTCCCTGGGGACAGGGACAGGCCAAGGCCAGGCTGTTGGCTTGTGGGGGGGGCTCGGTTGGGG